GATGACTGTCCTATGCAAAACACCATTGATTTAATGTACAGTATAGGAAGAGCCAACGTCATAACAACTTTGGATTTACTGAAAGGATATTGGACAATTCCCATGGAGGAACAAAGTAAAGAGTACACATCCTTCAAAACTCATCGAGATCAATATCAGTTTAAAGTGCTACCCTTTGGACTAAGGAACGCAGCAGCAACTTTTCAGAGAGTGATGAATAAGGCGCTGAAAGAATTTCAACAATTTTCAAGAGCCAATATTGACGACATAGCTATATTTTCAACAGATTTCGACACTCATCTCCAAGATCTGGATAAAGTTTTCACCAAACTAGAGTCACTTGGATTTACTATCAATTCGAAGAAATGTTCGTTTGCAAAACCTCAAATTAAATATTTAGGACACATTATTGGATCAGGAAAACATCGACCAGATCCCGAGAAAATAGAGGCAATCAAGAAGCTGGAAACGCTGAAAACGAAAAGATATCTTAAAAGTCTGTTAGGATTACGTAATTATTACCATGATTATATCCCAGGGCATGCAGAGTTCGCCTATCCACTCACAGAACTCACGAAAAACAAACAACCGGAAATACTCGAACGGAAAGAAATTCATGAGTCAACATTTCAACAACTGAAGGAACGATTAGCGATGTCAACGGAGTTGATCACCCCAACACCACAGGATCCGTTTGTCATTCATTCTGATGCATACCAAATCGGAATAGGTGCATGTTTATCACAGCAAAGGGGAGAGAAACAATTTCCCATCTGCTAGGCGAGCAAGAAATTATCGAAACCTCAACAAAGCTGGCTGACTATAGAGCGTGAAGCTTATGCTACAGTATGGGCATTGAAGAAGTTTGAACCTTGGATATTCGGTTCATCGGTGAAAATTGTGACATTATAATCCTCTAGCCTTTATAGTGAGAAATGCTCCGAAATCGTCCAAATTACAACGATGGGCCATAGCTTTGCAGAAATATAATCTCTAAATAGAACATTGCCCTAGAAAAAAATTGTTGAACGCAGATGCATTATCCAGACTCCTTACCTGTGAACTTTGAATATTAATTTACTGTTCATCTTCACAAACATTTTGTATAGTTAACGATTAGATAGTTTTTCTTTGCTTTTCTTAATAATTTTACAATTTTGTGCAAATAAGATGTTTATGTAATTTGAAATAGATAGAAAAATTATTGGATAACAAATATTCGAGGAGGGTGGTAAATTTAGATATTTGTCTCCCAAGGATATAAATCATATTGCAGCATCATTAATTAAAGAGAATATTAAGAATATAATATATATATATATATATAAGAAGCTTAATAATTTTACTGTCATCATTGGAATAATACTAGGGTATATTGTAACATGTTTATAAAAGAAAAATATCCACTTGGTTTCTTTGGGTTAAGAATTGATAAATTGTTACAATAACAATAATGTTCGGAACAAGTGGAGTGAAGTTAAAAATGTGTTATCTATGTTTATATATGCTTATGCAGTAAATTGACGTACAATAGTAGGTATTACATTGCAAATGTCTATAGTAATTGAGATTTGAATATTAGGGTAGAATGTATAAATGTATACATAGTTTTTTTTTTTTTTTCTTTTTCTCATTGATTGCAAACAGTTGCTAGATTTTAGTTTCCAGATTGCTGATTGATTTGTAAATAGTATCAACAACAATCTTACGACGGGGGTGTGATATCTGGCGACTGTTTGGCGATCAACAGAGCGTGCTTGGCGCATGTAGGTCTTTTCCAAGAAGGGTTAGTGTATTTTAAGAGAGTTGCATGTTAGCCTCAGAAGAGGAAGGTAGTAGATTTTGCTACGCAGTAAGAGCGACGTACTCCTCTGAGCTTACTATTATGCTTTGAACCATATTTTTAATAAATGTTCATTTCGTCTTGTTAAATGGTGCCTTATTGAGCCACGAAGTCATTACAATGTGTTAAACCTATAACTTCTGAATTTATAGTTTTGAATCATTAATTTTATATTTTTTATTGTTCATAACTGTGAAGTATAAAATCCATTACATTTCTTATACAGCAAATCATAAATACCGTACAAAATTTCAAAAATAATTGAAGAAATAGTGATATAGTGCTTTGGATATGACTCCTTATGTTCATTTTCACACCTGTGGCAAAATTAATAAAATTTAATACTATTATTATTGACATGAAACTTCCTATGTATTAATAATTTTTATTATAAACTTTTTACAGATGACTTGATTAAATGTGATATTTATGAGCAGTAAATGCTATTCCCATTACAAATATGTGATGAGAAAAGTAACGAATTTTCTAGTCAGGAAGATTTAGTCATTGACTTTTGGAAACTTGTCAAGAGAAAAATACCCAATTTGAGTGATACTCTTAAGCAGATAACTCTTATGTGTTTTACCATATTCAAACCTAATTTAACCTAACCAAAACATTTATTGAAATTAAAAACACTGTTAAATGCTATGAATTCATAGAGATCTGCTTGATAACTAAGCCAGAAGAACAGGAAGAAGCTGAAATTTTATTGAAATAACTAACTGCTCATACAGCAATATACATAGCTCTAAATAGCCCAAAGAGAAAAATAAGGATAGAGAAAATTCTTCTTAACACATGGAAAACACTGAAGATCACCTAAATCACTCACAGAACAAAGTTTAAAGCAGTAATAACCAGGCTAGATGCTCTCTAGCAAAACAGTTGCAAGCTTTGCATTAAGTGACTGCAAGCTTCAACACAACTGTTATAGAATGGCTTAAGAGAATTAGCAAGCATTTCTGGAAGCTTTGATAAAAGAAAAAAAAATCTATGCAATGGTTTAAGAAATGCATTTTTTAGAAACTTTTAGAATGGCATCAAAATTCAATAGAAGAGTTTCTGTCCATATCTCTGATTTTATTTGAATTATTTTCACAATTTAAACACTAATTAAACCAGAATGAAAAGATCTACAACATAATACATGAAATAAATACGTAAAACACATTAAGTGGCACATATACTATGATTAAATGGTTTGGTTTATGTGATTGCAGAAAAGCCTTGAGCGTTATTTGTCTAAAGGGAGAGATGGCCTTGTGGAGGACTTTCTAAGGAAAATTCACTCATATACACATTACACATGGAGAAAACAACGAAAACGCAGATGCAGCCAGCCGGTTCACTGAATTCGAACCTCGGACCGAACTTCCAGTGTTCAGCGACTTTACTACTCAGCCACTGGTGGGTCCCACATCTGATTAAAAAAATGCACAATAAATAAGCATAAAATTACTATACAAAATGAAATAACTAGTTTTGCATCCTGTAGCCCTTTCACCATAGCTAGAACATTTTCCCATATCTTTCCAACACTTGAAAAACACATAAATGCATTTATTTAGATTTAGATCAAACGTGTTTTATGAAATAAACAAACAAACAAAAAAAAAAAAAAAAAAAAAAAAAAGCTGATAAATGCCAAAACTTGAATAAAATAGTTTTTTATATTCATATAAAAAATAGTTTTTTATATTCATATAAAAAAACTAAATACTTATGAACTAAATAAAAGGCTGATTGCATCCCTCCTGTAACTATTGAAATGTAACTAATGAAATCCCTAGTTCAGGACTCATGTGATACTAATACTGAAACAAATGAAACAAAGGAGCAAACTAACATCCCTAATGATGAATTATCTCAGCAGAATAGTTCCAAAATCAGGTCCTTCAATAAAAGCGAGTATGACTGAAGGTCTAAATGTAAGCCATCAAGTCATAAGTTATCATATAAAATGTATGTTGAAGAAAAGATGTCTTAAAAATGCCTAAATGCTATAAATTTTATGAAAATAAAAAGGCAGCATTCATGGTCTTTCAGTAAGCTCCCCCCCCAATAAAATGTGCATAATAATGCATGAAGTTTGATGTATCTTTCAGGTTGAAGCCAGAGTTCACTATAGCAGTTTTGTCCACAATAGGTATGATTTAATTCAGTCAACTTTGATTGTTCATTCTAAATATGTTAAGATTTATACAGCATTTCTACAATTAGGATAACTTTGTATTTCTTCAACGAATGATAAAAATCAAGTTAGGAAACTATACATAGAAAATTTTAAGACTCTTTCTGAAGTATGTCTAACTAGAATGCAATCAAATGGACATGGGGTTTTTCATCAAAGTTCTGCACCTTCATACACTGCTAAAAGTTCTTCATTTATCAAAAAAGTTCAATTCATAAAGCTTCACCAAGAGAATTCCAAACAGTTCTCATGTCATATGAGTAGATCTTGCATGAGTATCTATATATTAAAAAAATTAAACAGGTTTCTACTTTAACAAATCTTAAAAATTTACTATGAAATAAGTGAAGAAAATCCTCAGAGAATGATATTAACTGCCTTAAGAAACATTACTAAATGATTTTTAAAAAATAAAATACAATGAAGCACCAAATGTAATCCCTAAAACATTTTGTTATCTTGCACATTGTCTTAGTACTGTTCAATTTGCAAAACTGTTTTAAAGATTGCTTAAAATAAATATAATTAATTACTTTTAAAAATAATTTCTATAAAAATCATGTGGCCCACACAATCAATACCATCCAATACATCCATCTTAAATATGTATGTAAAGAAGTTAACATCCCTAAATATGAACCATATATTTATGATAACTACTTGTTTGCAAATAGCTGTAAGATTTGGTTTTCTCTCTCAAATTCTGGCAAGCTATAAAACAAATTTCTTTGACATTTTAATTCTGATGTTTGCGGTTGTGGCTGTAATTTATCAACTGACTTAATAAGCACACTACATTTTCCCCAATATATTATTAAAATAAATTAAAATTTTGTTTGGGATTCAAAAACTTTTCAATCTTAATGGGGACAAAATTCAATAAATTAAACAACATGATAATTGCATCAAATACTATAAAAATACTTATATAAATTAAAATTTAAGACTGCATGTAATTCATACCTAAATTTTCCTGTTCGCACAAGAATAGCACGCATACCACATCTTTGTGCAGCTTGTATGTCATTCTCAATATCATCTCCAACCATAAGTATCTTAAAAATAAAATTTGATTATACTTCACATAGAACAACTTCCTTTACATACATTAAGTAATTTCTGAAGACAAATTATAATACTGCTTCAAAATAATATACCTCTTGAGGACATATTCCCATGCCATTCACTGCATTCATAATAAAATCATAACATGGCTTCCCAACAACCATTGCTTCTGTACTACAAGCATACTAAAGAGAATTGGAACATAAATTATTTTCCAGTATATATAAACATTCATTCAAAGCAATATATATTATAACTTGTGATTAACATTAAAGAACAGTAAGCAAAAATATAACTAAAATAAAATTTCCAGTTTTACTTCTTGTGATATTTCTGTGAAGAATCTAATTCTCATAAAACTGATCTTTCAGTGTATCAGAATTTATCAATTAATTTTTTTGCTGATTATCATATTTCATGAAAAAATGTTATAGAATCTTAACTAACTTAAAGTCTACAATTTAGCGGACATCTCTTCTTATTATTTATAGCAAAATTTTAAATATTCTTATACTAAATTATTTTTAAAACTGCATATTCAATAACTGATCCAATTTTATAACAATAAGCAGAGAACTAAAAGCTGCTACTGCAAAAGATATTGCATCTTAAAAATTCTGGAAACAAAACACTTCCAATTACTTATAAACTGAATTGTGCAATTTTTTAAGATGACTGACTGCCTCTGAAAATGAGCAGTACTGCTGAGAATACAGATGAATAATGATACTGAGCATCATCAATTTCAGTGCTCTCTGATCGGATCATTTCTATAGAAAACAAAATCACCTTGCATTGTGGGTTATCATTTTTTTAAAGTTTCCTTGTATTAACAATTTTGCAGGATTTTATTTTAGAAATTATCATATCATACCAAGTTTTTTTTTTCTTTTGAAATACCATGCATCACTCTATGCAAATAAAAAATCTGATTTACTCTTAGTTGTTAAAAATGTTACTAGTACTTTGTTGAGTAAGCAAAGGATAAGGAGGAATTAGTTTTAAAACTAATTTTGAATTTAATCATAATGTTTAAAGCAGCAGCGTTCAACCTTTTTTGGCTCATAGAAGAAAAAAAAATATTAACAATAGCAGTTTTTTATATTCATAAACCCAAACTAAATACTTCACAGGTATTTTCAAACTATTTTCAAATACTATACTACAAAACCGAAATTCCCATCCCGAAACTAGGAAATTCCCTCCCGGAGGTGGAATTTCTTCCTGGTTAAGAACCTCTGGTTTAAAGAAATATAGCACTAATATATCGTAACCGAAATGGTAAGGATGTATCAAACATGCAGGTAAAATTAACTGTGAAATGAATAATTACAGCAATAATAAAATTTGAATAAAATAATAAATAAAAAAATTACAATAAAAGTAATTTTTTTTACATTCATAAACTTGAATTAAATATTTAATAGGCAAATAAAAGGCTTCCCTCCTTTCTTGAAACTGTGAAATTTTCCCAATGGGTGAAATTCCCTCCTGGTTGAAAATCTCTGCTTTAAAGAAATGTGACATCAATATACTGCAACCAAAATGGCAAGGTCTCATACAATATGCATGGAATACTACCAGATGAGCTGTGAAATGAATAATTACTATAAAGTCCATTAGAAGGACTAACCTAAAGGTAGCTTGAACGTAAAATATTTTAACTGAGGTAACTGGTGAACATGTGTAAAAAGAAAATGATTTCATACTACAGATTTGAAAGTAATTTAGTGAGTAATCAATCATGCTAGAAATAAGTAATCTGGTTTCCGTAAGAATCAACACTTGAGGTAAGATAGTGACAAAGGGTATTAATAAGGGGTGATATCTGGAAGGCCATACAATCTAAATAAATAAATTAAACATTTAAAACCAGACTTTTATTAATATTAAAAATGAATTTTCGATCTCAAAATAACTCAATTCAGTTTTCCAAGTCACTTGACTGAACCGTGACCTTTGAGAGGTAGAAGGCCATTACACTTTATAAACATGGCGGAGCTTTCTGTCTAATGTTATCATCGGAAAGTCATCTGGATTTTCAAATTTTTGTCGGAAATATAACTTTATCATGTTGCTTAGTTAATTAAAATAGCTGGAAGAAAGGAGGCTTTATATACATTATTTTCACTTTTTAGGCTTTTTACAGATATTTTAATTAACATTGTGCATAAATATAATTGAAAGAAACTGAAGAACAAATGAACATTTTACAAAAATTTAAACGCTGATTGAAAATTACCACTGTCATGATAAATTGGGGAGGGGTTCTTAATTAATATTTTACCTAGGCTCAAGTATTAATTTATTCGCTTTTCAGAGCAAAATATATAACCATCAATTTCTATAACTCCAACGTATGTAAATGAAATACTATATAAATTAGCTAATAAATGCGATAAAAAATATTTCATACAAGAAACATACCTAAATCTTATAACAAAAAAGCCTTCCGACATTCATATTTGAAATGAGATAACCTAACAAACAACATACACTATTTTAAAATATTAAAAAAAATATTTTAAATTAGTGTATGTGGCAATATTTAAAAAAAAAAAAATAAAAACACATAAAGTATGCAGTGTTTAAAGGTTACCAGAAAAAAGTAACAGAATTACTATTTCCAATTAATAAAAAATTATATAGTGCTTTTTAAATAGCAAGCTATTAAAAGTATAATAATTAGTAGCAATGCTGATAATTTTTAACATCATTCTTTCTATCATATGTAAATATATATATATATATATATACTAGTTTTAAATAATGGTAGATTCTCACGGCCATTTTATTCATTTTTTCAAATCAATAACATTCCTTTGGATACTGTGCAGAAATGATTTGAATAATATACACAATAGTAAAAACTGCACACTTAAATCTGCTCTTCACTAAATAGGACACAACAAAAAGTTTTCCATTTATCATAAATTTTATTGCATGTAAAAAAAATTAACAATGAAATTGGAATGTATTCATATCTAATAATTAAAAAAATAACTTGCAACATTTGTATTCATACCAAGAGATATATTACGAATTCCAAGAGAAAAATAACAGAACTGCAATTCGTTAAATTTAATGTTTTTAAAATATTATATGATTAAAAATGCAATAATTATGGATTACAATATTTAGTAGTAATGCTGATGTTTCTTAACACCATTTCTTTCAATCATATGCAGGTGTATATACATATTTTTAGCTTCTAAATTTTAGGATAATGGGAATTACGATTATCATTTATATGCTTTTTATTATTTTTTTATTGCCAGTTGTGTATGTTGTTTGTTAGGTTATTTCATTTCAAATATGAATGTTGGAAGGCTTTTTTGTTATTAGATTTAGGCATGTTTTTTGTATAAAATATTTTTTATCACATTTATTAGCTAATTTATATAGTATTTCATTTACATACGTTGGAGATATAGAAGTTGATGATTATATATTTTGCTCTGAAATGCAAATAAGTTAATACTTGAGCCTAGGTAAAATATTAATTATTATTTTAAGAACCTCTTCCCAATTTATCATGACAGTGGCAATTTTCTATCAGCTTTTAAATTTTTGTAAAATGTTCATTTGTTCTTTGTTTTTTTTTCAATTATATTTATGCACAATGTTAATTATAATATCTGTAAAAAGCCTAAAAAATGAAAATAATGCATATAAAGCCTCATTTCTTTCAGCTATTTTAATTAACTAAGCAACATGATAAAGTTATATTTCCAACGAAAATTTAAAAATCCAGATAACTTTCCCATGATAACATCAGACGGAAAGCTCCATGTTTATAAAGTGTCATGGCCTTCTCCCTCTCGAAGGTCACGACTGAACTGACTTGGGAACTTATGGTTGAACAAATGAATGAGAGGAAAAACATCTGAATTTTTCTTTAAAGATTTTTTAAGCTGATCTTAATTCAATTGACTTAACTTACAAATTTTTCTCACAATAATTTTATTCATAGTTAGTATGAAATAAATCAAGACTAAAGTTTAGAAAGGTTACAGATTGAAATACAAAAAAAAAAAAAAAAAAAAAAAAAAAAAAAAAAAATCTGATGTGGATACTATGACTTCCTTGTGTGGCCTATTAAATAATACACATTTTTTTTGTGCTACATTTCATTTAAACTTATTTCTTTAAATTATTCTAACTTATTTAACCAGTCTCTCAAGGCAAATTGAAGATGGCATCAAAAACGCAAATTTTGAAGTTAAGCATCCTGGTCAATTATTGTCGTAGAGACAAACTTCTTGTATTTTTATTTTTTTATAATGAGTATGAAACTTTCCCACATATAAGTACAGGAACCAGGTGACAACATTCAAAGTTAGATTTACGAGGGCCATCCAGGAAGTAGATTACGTTTCCGTCTGTGTCCGCTAGGGGCGGGGCTAGCGCGGCCATCTTGGGGTCAGAGCGTTGCGCAGCTCAGTCTGCATCTAGCCGTGCTAGTGAGAGGTTCGTGCTGTGCTCCGTTCAGATACTGTGACGGTTTGAAATGTCTGCGTTAATTGAAAATCCCGCGAGCTGCGAGGTGTGCTCAGTAATAAGGTTTTCTGACTGCAAAAAACTGTAAACCGATAGAAATCTATCGGCAGCTTCGTGAAGTGTTGGGGACAACATTATCACTGAGGTGGAGTGCGTCAGTGGGTCATAAGATTTCAAAATGGCCAAACCAATGTTCACGACGAAGATCGAAGTGGGAGACCACCAGCATAGTGACCGCCGAACTTCTCGAAAAAGTCGATGCTAAAGTCCGTGAAAAATCGAAATTTCACAATAACGGAACTTTCTTTGAGTTTTTCCACAAATTTCGCGAAAGTTTGTTGCACGAAATCATCAGCGAAAAGCTTGGTTACCACAAGTTTTGTGCAAGATGGATTCCAAAAATCTTGACAAGGGACCACAAAATCAGCAAATGGCTGCAGCGTTGAACTTTTTGGACACTTACCAGAAAGGATGGTGACTCTTTACTCGATCGCATCGTTACAGGTGACGAAACATGGGTGAAACCATGTGAACTGTGAAACGAAATTGCAATCAATGCAAGTGGGGGCACACAAGTTCTCCCCAAAAACCCAAGAAATGCATGCAAACAATGTCGGCAGGAAGATGATGGCGACTGTTTTTTGGGACAGAAAAGGTGTAATTTTGGTGGACTTCCTGGAAAGAGGCACTACAATAAACTCTCAAAGGTATTGCCAAACTCTCCAAAAACTCAGAAGAGCAATTCAAAACAAGCGCAGAGGAATGTTGAGCTCTAAGATCTTGTTGATTCACGACAACGCCTGGCCCCACACGGCAAATGTCACTCGTAAAGTTCTTGAATCTTTTAAGTGGGAGTTGTTTCCTCATCCGCCGTACAGTCCCGACCTGGCACCGAGCGACTTCCACCTATTCCCAGCAATGAAGAAGTGGCTGGCTATGCAGCGTTTTGATGACGACGCACAGCTGCAAGAAGAGGTAATGAAGTGGTTGAAGGCGCAGGCGGCCGAATTTTCGACGAAGGAATTTCCAAGCTCGTACATCGCTACGATAAATGCCTTAATTTGTATGGTGACTATGTAGAAAAGTAGTATTTGAGTGTGGCTTTCATCTGTATATAATAAAATTTGTTTCCTATACTTTGTTTATTTTTTTATTCCAAAACGTAATCTACTTTCTGGATAGCCCTCGTAATTATTTGTCCAACATTAATTTTTCGTTAAATTCTTCATTTTTGGCATGTGCAAATCTTTAATTTTAGTGCATTCACCGTATTTTTTGACTAATACAATTTACAATAATTCAGCATATATCAAAATTTTTTACATAAGAAATATGTACAAATATTTTTGAATGAAAATTACATGCATTATTTTTAACATCCACCTCAATTTTTCCTTCTAAAGTTATACACAAAGGCATCTCTTCCCTTAGGCAGATAGCCTTTGCATGCTTTACCCTATTTTAAAAACTCAACCTGACCTATGTGACTAACTACAAATACTTTAACATACATAATTTTATATTTACATTTAATTATCAAATTTCAAACTTTTGACTCAAACATGTTTTTGGATACATTCATTCTTAAATTCAAATTTTCTAGTAAATATATTTTGGCACAGCATTCAATAATCTCTTAGGAATTTTATATTTTCTTATATATTTATATTAATATTTTATATATAATTTTATATTTCTATATATTTTCTTAGCATTAATCTTTTGGGAATTTTACCCATTTTGACATATTTTAATCATAATACTGAGAGCAAATATTGTAATATGATAAAGCAAGCCATTCTTTGGCTATGAGTGAGCCTTATGGACACTAAGAACTGAGCATGAACCTCGAATTTCTGAGGAAAAAACACTTGTGTGGGGAAACATTTAATCTGGAATCAGTAAGAGGACCATTCCTGATAGGACCTCATACGATGGAATATGCAAAGGTTTTCCACTCTGTGGATTAACTTATTTTCAAACTCTTAATAAGCTGTCATGATGCTAAGGCACATTCAGATGCTCATATCACCTTGATCTCAACATGGCACTTCCACCATACTGGCAAAGGTTCCGCATACAATGTTAAACAAATGTATGGTTACAAATGAAAGAAAAGCTGGGTTAGAAGATTTCAAGGTAATTTCATTTTTCAGTTAAGATATATAAACCCAAAGTGATTATTTTTCAGTTGTATGAAAATAAAATGATGAGTTTAAAAAATGAACTATTATGTGTCTCACCTAAAAATTTTTAAAAAGTGCATATTACAATATTATGCAGATGACAAAAAATGTATTTTATTTAAAACAGTTTGATATCTGAAACATAAAATAAAAGTAGCAAATACACTACCAAGGGGATCAAAAGAAGCATTAAGTTTTCATACTTATACAGTTAGTTATAAGGAAATTGAGCTTTAAAGTGTATTATATTTTTTTTGATATTTTGAAATTTTAAAGATATCTCAAGGCATTTATAATTCTTTGTGCATAACATAAATATTCTGCTAAATTCTATATTTTTGTACTCCATTAGCTTAGAATGTTGTAAAATAAATTCATACTTAAAATTGCTGTTGCAAGTTAATGAAAGATAACCAAGATGTGATTTGTGCAGCAATGCCATTAAACTATACAAATTGCTTTTATCCTTCAGTGAATGTTTCTTTTATTCAGAAGTATTCTCACTTTTCGATTCGGGCAGAATTGTCTTGTGTAGAAGTACCACTAAAATGCTGTCAACCCACTCTACTGAAGACTTTTCCAGTTTATTTGGCTACCCACTTGGTATGAGCAAAACAGAACATGCAAAAATTGTAATACATTCTGCTATTTACATTATTAAAATCTTAAAAACAGGGGTGTTTTGTTAAAATTTTCCCTTAACTCTTAACACATTTTGTAACATTAAGCCCCTCCCTCTGCAAAAAAATTAAAATTGTTTTTGACAAAAATTTGCTGCTCAGATGGTACAGTGGTTAAGGGAGCCTACTGTTGTACTGAAGTGCACAGATTCGAATCCTGGAGAAAGCATGGCTGTAATCGTCTGTCCCTCCATAAGCAGCAACAATGGTCCACCTATTAAGTGCTCCCATAATAAAGTGGCCACCAATTTTGGCCTTAGTAGTAGCCAAGCCTAAGTTGGCAAAGTACCTGCCAATGGGGTGGAGGAGTCCAGTCTTGCATAGCATTTAGTTAAATACTCTTCGAAAACATGACTTAAGAAATTTAAATAATAACCTTGCTATACATTTTACTTATGTGCCAAATTATATGGATAATAAAGATTTTCTCACATGAAAAATCAAAACATCCACCAAGAAAAGAAAACATATAAGAATATATTTTATCATATTTTCATTTTCCACAATCATATGAAAGCTTTCTTATCTACTTCTTGCTATGACTATGTCAAAAGAAGTCAAAAGTAAAATAAATAAATAAATATATGAATAAAAAATCTGGAAGGATTCAGATTTTAACGTTGCACCAAGGTGTTTGTTAAGGTTTTTTTTATGACTTTGTAATTTACCAATCTGTTCTTGGAGATTCTCTTCTGCTTATACAACTTTTTTTTTGTCTTTTTAACTTTATTATTAAACATAGTTTTTTCCACATTTACACTGCATGAAATTCAAAAGTAAAATCATAAGATTTTAAAAAGCATCACATTTTTAGAATTTTAAATACAGTGTTAAGTGTTGTCACTTTTTTTCTATTTCTTCTTAATCTTTCCTCATATATGTTCCTAACAAGATAATTTACACAATTTTTTTTTTAATTATCAAAATCAGATTCCTATGGCTAGTTAAATGCAATTAAAGTTTGCTGATCAACCTAACTAGAACATGAGATAATAGAACTGTCCTCTCCCTTTTTTGATTCATTCTACTTTTGTAAGCACATCATAAACTTTAAGAAATAATTACCTCCAAAGCTGCAGCATAGGATGCTGCTCCGAGAACTAATTCATTTTTCTCCTTATAATACTTTCTAGAAAAAGCAAAATACTTTTATTTTACACATACACCAAAAAAAAAAAAAAAAAAAAAAAAAAAAAAAAAATCATATTTCTTCTATACTTTCAAAAAATAATCATGCAATGATAAAACAAAAATGGAAAAGTAAAACTTTGATTAGTATTAAATTAACGACAAAGGTACCAAATGTTTTTATGCATTAATGAAAACAAGCATTATATACAAATATGATAGCAATATTTAATTTTAATGAATTATATGATAACATCACATTTGAATCATTAATAAATTTATGTTTAAAGGTAAAAACAAACATGCAAAACTTATATTAATAAGGCATATGACTATTGGATGTTCACACAAACTTTACTGCAATTTTGCCTGTGTTGAATGAGGTGATCAATCATCACAAACGTTAGCAATGGCCATTTCTATAATAGAGCAGTTTCAAACTTCTGAGACTGGCTAGAGGATATACCCATGCAGAGGTAAAATGCCTGAGGGTATTCCAAAGTTTACAAAGGTTTTCAATGGGATTAAGGTAAGGGGAGTGCAACTGCCATTCCATACATAAAATGCCCTCACTCTCCAGGAACTTTTAATTATGCTGCGTTAATGAAGATAGGAATTATCCCTCATAAGGACGAAATCAGGACCAACTGTTGCTCCTTACTGGGTTTTACTATTTCATTCCGATACTGCGCAGCTATCACAGAGTCATCTTAAAAGATGTACCGCTAGGTGTGATATGCTATTGAAATTCTAGCCCACACCATGATGCTTCTACCTCTGAACATGTTACGTTTGATGATGTTCTGAGTCTGAAAGACCTAACTGAGATGTTGACATCACCCCTTTAATCTGCCTTTCTGGATAAGATAGTTAGTTGAACAATAACACTTGATAATCGAGCACACAATCCCTTCATGTGAAGCCTTCAGAGCACACTATTCACAGATATTGCCTTACCAAGTGACACTGCAAACATGGATGTCGCAACTGTAGAGGTCACTCATCGAATCCGCTTGTCTACCATAGCAATATAGTGATCTTCAAAAGGGGTAGTAACCCTTGGTTGACTGGGTATAGGTCTCCAAACAACTGTTTGATTCATTTGGAATTCCTTCCATATTCAAGAAATTACTGAATGATCAACAGCAAAGAAAAGTGTAACATCTTGGATTGATTGTCTTGCTTCAATGTGTCCAAAAGCAAACCAGTACTCATTATCTGCCATAAAACATGAATTTTCTCAAAATTTATTCTACAAAAGTTACTAACACTTTATACAGCATTTAAATAAACCTCCTGAAACCTCTCAGAATGTTACTGCCTAATTAGCGTATATTGAGACAGTCAATTATGATTGGTTGTTATATTACTTGTGTACTGATTTTGCATACTGCATCTGCATCTATAGTAATTTTAAGCCATTCATATTAAAGTATGTTTTTGAAAATTTCTACGTTGCATTGTACAGTCAAAAGTCTTTAATTCGGACTCATCAGGACTTCGGCGATTCCAGATTATCGGTTTTTCCGGATTATAGATCATCAGTATAAATCTGGTAAGAGGCATGCAGAAATTATAAAATTAAAAATATGAAACTGTAATTTATGAAATAAACAGCAATTATGATCTAAAGGGTATCAAAATTTACAAAAAAAAAAAAAAAAAAAAAAAAAAAAAAAAAAAAAAAAAAGCTTTATATTTATTTTACTTTATTAAACATTTCTTTCAATGCGCGCATGCGTAAAGCATACATTACGCATAGTCGAAATTATAAAATTGCAACCAGAAAACTATTTGATGTGTATCGTGATATTTATAATGATGAGGAATTTGATTTAAATCATATCAAAGACGGAGTACTTCGAGATGAAATACTACATTTAGTAAGCTGAATAAAATAAAAACATCTGCCCTGAAGATAACGATAGTGCTGACAGATCAACTTCCAGTTCATTGCGTGCCGCGTTGTTCCCCCCAGAGCAGCGTGAAATTGATAAACATATTTCGGAATGGTTAAAGAATCAAAGATATGCCTTTATCCATTTTTCCACTTTTTGTTTGATGGACATCGAAACATGCTTTCGCTTTGTAAATCCTTTGGTAGCGCTAGAATCGGAAATTCTTTTTGACATAATCGAAAGTTCAAGCTTACTTTAATAAAATTGCTCTAACAGTCTGCAAAAAATAATAAGCCAGATCCAATTAGAAGATTAAGGAACAATGCAATCTGCAACATTAACTGAAATAGATAATTAGATAATTTTAGCTTAGCTTATACCATCCGTTATACATTAAACACACATGCGTAAAGGTATTATGCGCATGCGTTAACGCATTATGCATTGACGCATGCGCAGAAAGTTTGTAGCTTTGAGGTCCTGATTATAGATCATTCCGGATTAAAGACTTTTGACTGTATACTTAACTTTTGGAAGCCAATGTATGACAAAATTTACTTGCATAATTTAGAATAATTAAAATTTAATAAACAATAAAAAAATTCACAGACTTATTATACCACAGCAATGTATGAGTTATTTTGAAATTAAGGGATTAAATTTTATAAAACATATTTCAAGATGAAAAAGGCTTTTTTACTTTTTTCAAGATATAACAGGCATAAAATGCTGATCTGATCTCAAAAGCATAATTTTAATATTCAATTTTGATTAATAACCAAGCAATCATTGTAAAACTTTTGGTGAGATAAAAATCTATATTATTAAATAAAAATTAACTTGTGAAAGAACATCTGTTCACTGTTACACAACTAGAACACAGATCTATGTCAAAATCTAAATAAAATTTTCAATAAAATTTGTCATCTAATACAAACAGTAAGTCACGAAGACTAATAAAGTTCTAATAATAATAAAAAATTGTGTATGCTTATATATACAGTGACTCATAACTTCCTCTGAGATTTCAAAAGTTTACAGTACAATAATTACAACAAATGTCATATAAAAGTACATATCAGTAACACAGAGAATTTCTCCAGACTTGCACTCATAAAATGTCAAACAAGGTCACATAATGGCAGTTTCAACTGCTACAAGCCATTATCTTTTGCAAAGCAAACTGCTAGGGTGTACTGTACCTAGATTTGCCCCAACAGTGACAAACACCACAACTACAGACAATGGAGACTTCAACAAGATAGTGCTTCCTATAATTTTACGAGGGCATTCATAGCTCAGTGCTAAACTGAATGTTGTTAGATTGATTCTCCTGTTCTTCTGTTGCCTCCATGCTCACCTGATATAATCTCATGTAAATTTTTATGGGGTTATATCAAAGATTATATGTACTATTCATGTTCTATTTGCCATGTGATTTAGCACAACTGTGGGGAGAAAAAAAACAAATCGTGAAGATTCTTTATGTACTAATAAGCACATTTATGCTATATTCATTACAGTTAATATATTACAGTCAAAAGTCGTTAATCCGGACTCGTCGGGACTTCTGCGTTTCTGGATTGTTGATTTTTCCGGATTATAGATCATCAGTTTAAATCTCGTAAGATGGCAGGCAGAAATTCTAAAATTAAAAATATGAAACCGTAATTTATGAAATAAAGAACAATTATGATTTAAAGGGTATCAAAATTTACAAAAACAAATAAAATAAAAAAAAAGCTTAATATTTATTTGTTTACTTTATTAAACATTTCTTTCAATGTAAGTTATTTAATTTGCTTTGTTTTATGTGACAATACTTTCTCTTTAATTCTATAAACAGACATCATTTCTTGTTCATTTACAAAGTTCCGTAATTGCTGTGCTGAGAATACCGACTAATTTGTCAATCGAAATTTTTTCGTTTTCACTAACCTCTCTGTCACCTTCTTCATGTCTTTATCCATTTTTTGCAGCAATTCCACTTTTTGTTTGATGGACATCGAAACATACTTTCGTTTTGTAGATCCTTTGGGAGCTCCAGCATCGGAAATTCTATTTGACATAATCGAAAGTTCAAGTTTACTTTTAAAAATTGCTCTTACAGTCTGCAAAAAATAATAAGCCGGACCCAACTCGAAGATTAAGGAACAACGCAATCATCAACATTAACTGAAATAGATAATTTTAGCTTATACCGTCCATTATACATAAAAAGAGCATGCGAAAACGTACTCTGAGCTTGCGCCCACGCATATGCGCAGTCGTAAAGGTCTTATGCGCACGCATAAACGCATATGCGCATGTGTCAACGTGGCGCATGTGCAGAAAGTTTTTAGCTTTGAGGTCCGGATTATAGATCATTCTGGATTATGGGTGTCCGAATTAACGACTTTTGACTGTATAAACTTATGAAACCTCAGATAGTCTTAGAAATCATACTGTTAAATGTAAAAATTTTAAAACGTAAGAGTCTTAAGTGAAACTCCTTTCAGCAATTTTATAAACAGCATATTTTGAGCAACAGTAATTAATAAGTTCCAGTTTTCATATCTCTCAGAGGCCGAAAGACATAAAGGCAAAGATAATGATGTATTAAGAAGCATATTTTATTTAAGTAATAAAACTTGAAACATAAGAAAGAAAACAATATAAAATGCCGTAACTTGAAATAAAAATCCATAAAACAGTATACTCCATAAAAAAATTGAGAAAAATGGAAATTTGAAAAATAAGTTACAGAAATGCTTATTAAAGCTTACATGCATTTCATGTTTTTAACCATTTATGGACCAAAAAAAAAGTTGATAGATTAAAAAAATTCATTTTGATAATTCTTACTCATTTCCTAATTTCACAAGAACTGGGCTTGGTGATGATGTCAGCACTTGATATGCCTTATTAAACATATCAGCAGAAACATTTCCACCTAAATCCCCAATGACTACACAATTAGGAGAAGATTGATCAAGTTTATCAAAAGCAGATCGAATATCTGAAAAAGAACGGTATTTTTTTTTTAAACACAACATTAAATTTTTAAGATTCATTATAATTAACAAATAAGAGTAAGTAAAACTTGGAGGATTAACATGATTTTTTACAATAAAATTTATAAATTTAGAACAAAAAATTTTTGTCAGCTCAAATTTTTGATCAGCTGAATTAAATCCTAAAATTCAGAAACTGATATATATGTCAATTTTTCTCTAAAAGCTGAATTTTCGATAGCTTGAATTTTTTTCTACAAAATGTCTACCTTGATGAACCATTAAATAAGGCCTCAGTCCAAGTGTTAAGAGAGTATTTATCACTACAGGTATAGGAGAGAAAATTTCTTCTTCAATCACACTGAACCCCAAAGTTTGAAGTTTTTTGACTAAATCAGCAGGAGTTCGCCTAGAATCATTCGTGATGAACCTAATAGCAATTCCTAGTTGCCTCAACCTACAAATAAAAAATAAATAATATATTTTAAAATATATATATGAACTGTAAAATATCCACCACATTAATTAAAAATGCTTTATTACAAAACAGCAGGATTAAAAGAAAAAATAAAATAACTTATTGGAATACTTACCTTTCAACTGCTATTACAGATCCTTTAATGGCTTCATACTTTCCATTCTCAAAAAGAACTCCAGTTGTACTTATCAGAATTCCTCTGACAGGATTATTTAAGCATTTGGCAACCTAACATATGAAAAAAAAAAATATCTGAAAAGTAGTTATATTAGAATTATATTCATATTGCAAACATAATTATAAAACTGTATACCTATAATTTAACAGGTCAATTAAGTTTGTTTGAAGAAAGCCGCTGACATAACGAAAGATATTTTAAAGGTTATTGAATGGGATTTAATCTAGATATAACAACGTGATGAGAACAAGGATATGATGCATCTACAATGGTGAGTGTGTTTAAGTATTGTAGCAAGGATTTATGAACTCAGTTCTAAAGCATTGTTTGTACCTTGTAAAAACCACTTTCTTAATCTGTGTGAAGCATAATCTTTTGCAACAGTTCTATTATGTGTGACCTTTTTGGGAATCTTATAAAGTTTGTAAGTGTTTTTTTCAGCTTCTATGCATAGATAGGCAATCTTTCTGACAAATGTTGAAGTTACAGGTAAGTAACTTTTAGAAATAAGATAGAGTGTTCACCATGAAGCTGTTAATTATGTGTTCAAGTGCTTTAAGAAGACTGTCAATGCCACTGTGGAACTGCATGATGCTTTGGAAATGAACAAAACCAGAGGAGTAGCTCAAGCTCTGTTGCCTGCAATGTATGATTTCATGTTTTTACGTTTATGAAATAATGTCTTAGAAGAAGACAACTATGTTCAAAAGTATTTTACAGATAACTGGAATAAAATTCTAGAAGGCTATTATCAAAATGAGAAGTCTAAAGGCATTTTTAAAAGAAATGACCTTATAAAGGAAGCAATGCAATGCATTCCTATGGTAGAACTGCCAGAAGGACAAAAATTATGCCCGGACACAAGGCTGCAGACGAGCTACTGATTTTGGACCAAGAACTGAAAGGGTTAACGTCAGTTATGTGATGAACAAAAGAACAAGAAATTGATATATGTTGCGAACGCATGGAATATATATCAGATTAGTTTGCAATCTTAGAACCCAAAAAATGTGATCAAAACCACAGAAACTGAACTTTCTAAGTCAAATTTCTGAAAACCCCCAAAGTTCAAAAAATAGTTTTTCGAACTCAGATCAATTAAGAATTATCTCAGACACACTAGGAATCAAGCACGAATTTCGAGCTCAGCCATTTTGTTAACTGAAAATAGTGTACCTAAAGATACTGATTTTGATGACATAGTTTGAAAATTTGCAAAACAAAAAATTAGGAAGACGAGACTCTAAGTACCATGTTGAAGTACAGTTTATTGGATTAAGAGACTAAACAACAAAACTTGTAAACAATTTAGTTTTCATTAAATTCTATTATAACAAAAATAAAGTTATACACTAGAAAAATCTTTAAGAAAAAAAAAGATTTCTTACATCATATATTAAACTGGCTTATTAATAAAGAGGCATTTTTACTCATTTTTTCCATTCATAAAAAATTGTCTGCAAAATAATCTACATTGTGCCTTTTTTACTTAACCAACTGAATAAAAACTTTGCTTCCAGACCTTGCTACACCACTGGTGTGAAGTACCGCATTATCTGAAAATATGTACAATTGCTGGCTATCTCCTCATAACAACCAAAACATAGCAGAAAGCTGCAAACAAGGCATGTTTATTTCTTTCTTCCCTTCCCTGCATTTATGCCACGTCTATGCACTAATTCCAACGAATAAGTCAACGAATAATTCAGTCAGTCAGTTATTACTGACTGAAAGCACTAGCTCTTTCTCCTAATGTGGGCAATTCCAAGCAAACCACTTCCCTGAATTTTTCTTGCATATATATATATATATATTCCTTTTTAAAGAAACTTTCCTTTTTGAAAATGACTATATATCAGATGCACGATGCTATTGCAGCTCAGATTAACAGTATGACATTTAAAATACTATCTATTTGAAAATCGCATATTATATTACAGCTAAGACAATGTGAAACAACATGTGATTGGCATTACCTACTGGTAAAAAAAAAAAAAAAAAGTATTTACATACTGTAGCAAAGCTAGACACCTTAACTTTTAATACATGTATCACATACATTTTAGTGCTGATAAAGATAAATATTTGACTTCAAAAAACAGACTAAAAGCAGATTTTCAATTTGAAATTCAAAAAATCAGTTAACTTTTATCAGAATTACAAATGGGGATGAAAAAATTTAGTTTCCTTTCAAAATAAATGAAAAAGTTATCCTCAAACAAAATACATGGCGATTTTCTAAAAATACTTGTAGATACAAAGACTTCCTTCCAATATGCAGACAATTTTATTGGCTTCTGATGCAGTCTAACTTGTCTAGCTCAAATAGCAGATAAAGTTTCAGAGGTTACAAAGAAAACATTCAGAAACGCAATTATTACACAAATAAGGCCAAAATAGGCTACTGCTTCTATCATTAAAAGTTTAAAACTGATGCCCGTGTGTTTCTTCATGCCTCTTTTTAGCCAGAAAACTAAATTCAGCTCTACCAAAATAAATCATGGTCAGTGGAAGAGCAGCAAGTGTTTCAAACAAATTTCATGTTTATGATAAACATACAAACATGATATTTACTGTTTTCCTGTGCCAAGGGGAAAACAAATAAGTGTCACTACTTTAGAACTGCTTGCCATTAACAATACTAAAACTAAAATACATAGTATTAAACCTTTAAGTCTCAAATGAAATATTAAATGGTATTTTATAAGTGTTAAGTTGTGGTCTCTAAAATAGGAGTAGACTCTCATTCATTTTGAGTTACTAATTGACTTAGGCAAAGAATGTCTCTCACATTGCCAAGTCTTGCTACTACTGGAAAATTCAGAGTATAGCATTCAAGTGGAAGTTAAAACTGTTTTTGAATATTCTACGACTTAATTCATATTTTATAACTATGATATAAAATTTACTATGAAGCAAAACAGAATTCAAATACAGTCAAAAGTCTTTAATCCGGACGTCCATAATCCAGAATCTCAAAGCCGGACTTCAAAGCTACAAACTTTCTGCGCATGCGCATATGCGTTTACGCGTTCACATAATAGCTTTATGCATGCGCATATGCGTTTACGCATTCGCATAATATGTTTACGCATGCGCGTTTAATGTGTAACAGATGGTATAAGCTAAGCTAAAATTATCTAATTGTCTATTTCAGTTAATGTTGCAGATTGCGCTGTTTCTTAATCTTCTAATTAGATCCAGCTTCTTATTTTTTGCAGACTGTTAGAGAAATTTTATAAAAGTAAGCTTGAACTTTCGATTATGTCAAAAAGAATTTCCGATTCTGGAGCTGCCAAAGGATCTACAAAGCAAAAGCATGTTTCGATGTCCATCAAAGAAAAAGTGAAATTGCTGCAAAAATGGATATCCTTTGTTTCTCTAACCATTCTGAAACCTGTTTATCAATTTCACCTCCTCTGTGGGGGAGGGGGCTCATGCAATGAACTGAACTGAAGTTGATCTGTCACACTATCCTCATCTTCAGGGTAGATGTTTTTATTTTATTCGGCTTATAATTCCTTACTAATGTAGTATTTCATCTCGATGTACTCCGTCTTTGATATGATTTAAATCAAATTCCTCGTCATTATAAATATCACGAATACACATCAAATAGTTTTCTGGTTGCAATTTTCTAATTTCGACTATGCATAATGTATCTTTACACATGCATGCATTGAAAGAAATGTTTTATAAAGTAAACAAATAAATATTAAGCTTTTTTTTTGTAAATTTTGATACCCTTAGATCATAATTGCTCTTTATTTTCATAAAATTAGTTCCATATTTTTAATTTATAATTTCTGCATGCCATCTTACCAGATTTAAACTGATGATCTTCCGGAAAAACCGATAATCCGGAATCGCCTGGCGAGTCCAATTAAAGACTTTGACTGTATATGTTATAATAGGAAATTTGTTGATGGTGTAAAGTAACTGTCATCATCCGTTTAGCATGTGATGCATTCAAAAAAGGCTTATAGGATTAGACCAACTGAAATTACAGAGCATTTAATTTATTACACATTTTAAATCATACTCTGTCCCAATATACATGATTTTACACAATATTTCATGGCAAAACACTGATTTCTAATTGATATTGCATGTGCTTAATACTATATACCTGTCTACAAAAAACACATATTTGAACAGCAGTAATTACTCCTTTCAGTCTTCTGAATTTCCTCATTTAAATTTTAACTAAAAAATGTTGCTTGATTTTCCACATTTCATGTATGAACTAGACTTTTGTTACACATACTTAGATGATATTCCAGTATTTCTCAGAAAATTAAGCACTTTGTAAATAACAATTTAAACAACTTCTAAAGTTCTACACAAATGAAATGAATACAGTCTTAAATTAAATGCTTCAAAATACAGTTTTGGTGTTCTTGAAACAGAATTCTTAGGCACTTGGTAACCAAGCATGGTTGTAAACCTTTACCAACAGAATGGATGAAATTTGAACTTTAAATAAATAAAACAAAAATTTTTTTTCTACTAATTTCAATGACAGATATCTGACACATTACCAAGCACTGCCCAGTGAATATGAAACTACTTTTATATATATAGACCCTCACTTGGCGACAAATTTCTTGCCAAATATTTTTGGTGAGAAACTCCATGAGCATATTACTATCTAAATTGTTTGCCTAAATTTCGAACTTTAAGCTTAAAATGTCTCCAAAAACGTGGTTTTCACACTTGCAAAAACCCCATTTTGAACATACAATTTAAGTTAAAAATCTGAAACAAAAACAAGAAATTTAGATAGCAAAAATGTAAAGTTTCTAACCAAAAATATTTGACAAGAATTCATGTACACAGCGATAGTTTTAACTTAAAAAAATCACAAGATTGCACAATTTATGCAGCGAAAGAAAAATCTACGAACTAAGCACACCTAGCTTAAATAAATTAACATAACAATAAATTTCAAAGAATACCATGTACACAGTGTTCTGTTTAAACTTATTAAAAAACATCTATGAATCACACAATCTATGCATTCTGCACTAATCAACAAAATAAATTAAAA